GCCAAGGGACATCAGGACATTCCAACCATGCTCCTTCTGCACGCGTAGTCCAGAAGAAACCACTTCCATGGGTGTTGGGGAGATGGTGTCGAGCGGCTGGGGAGGCGCAAGAGAGAAGGGGATGGGGTTGGGGGTGCGGGAGATCCCACTGGCTCAGAGAGACCCCAAAATATCTGGGGTGGCTTCATCCCTTGAGCATCTCACCTCAAGCCAGCCTTGACCAACACCCAAAGCCTGAGCCCTCCCAGCCGCGCTTGGGGGCGTGATGATGCCATCTACCGAATGACGCCATTTGGGGCAAAATATCCCAATTTTGTGGCTTTGTTGTTAAGAAACAAGCCCAGGCATCCACCCCCGGCGGTTCCCAGCCCACGCGCCACACAGTTCGGCTGCCGGCGGATGTTTCGGCGCGGACCCGGCGTGAGTGGTTTATTTAATGTATTTATTGTATTTATTCAGCGGGAACCCACCTGCGGTTGGAGGAACCCAACGTGTTGGGGTGAGCTGGAGGCTGTTGGGGACAGGAGCTGGGACAAGGGGAGGGTTTGTCCCCGAGCTGGCATGGGGATGGCTCCTTTTGGATTGGTTGCTCAACCACCATGCAAAGGGAGCTTGTGGTGGGAACCTATTGGTGATGGGGAGGAGGTAGCACCCATGGCTGGAAAGGAACCCCCAGGAGATCACGGGGAGCATCACCTGCAGGTATTTCCCAGCTGAGAAGAGGTGAACCCTTGGGGTGAACCTCAGGGATGGGAGCAGGACGCAAATCCGGGGATTTCCTGGCAGTTTTGGGGTCGTGGCCGTTGCCGGCTGCCTGGTCCGTCTCTTCCCAAGATGAGCAGGAGCTGTGTTTGTATTGTGAATAAAAATAGACTAGTGCAAAACCCGGCGGGTGGCTTCTGCTTCTCCTTGGAGAAATTCCAGCTCTTCCCATCCTCTGGAAAACCAGAGGTTTGAGGGTCACCTTGGGTGGGGTGTCCAAAATACCCCCCACCCCCATCCTGGGGAAACTCAACCAGCCCGGCAGCCTGCACCACCGGTTCATGGTCTGTGGTGGTGATGGTGAGTCACCTGCCGGGAGGTGAAAGATTGGGGCTACGTGTCCCCCCGCCCCGAGCTGTCTTGTCACCCTCCCAGAATGCCCCATGCTTTTGAAGGTCCCCCCTTCCCAGCAATGTCCCATGCCAACGCTGGCTGGGTTGTACCAAATACACCCAACCCCAAACACCCAAAACCCTTCTGCCTTCATTGGGTCCAGGAGGATCTCCAAGGAGGAAGATCTTCTGCCTCATTGGGCCTAGGGACCTTCATTTGGTCAAGAGAGGATCTCTAAGGAGGAAGATCCTCTGCCTTCATTGGGTACAGGGATATCTCCAAGGAGAAAGATCCTCTGCCTTCATTGGGTCCAGGAGGATCTCCATGGAGGAAGATCCTCTGCCTTCACTAGGACCAGAGAGGATCTCCAAGGAGGAAGATCTTCTGCCTTCATTGGGTCCAGGGAGGATCTCCATGGAGGGAGGTCCTCTGCCTTCATTGGGTCCAGGCGGATCTCCATGGAGGAAGATCTTCTGCCTCATTGGGCCTAGAGACCTTCATTTGATCAAGAGAGGCTCTCCAAGGAGGAAGATCCTCTGCCTTCACTAGGACCAGAGAGGATCTCCAGGGAGGAAGATCTTCTGCCTCATTGGGCCTAGAGACCTTCATTTGGTCAAGAGAGGCTCTCCAAGGAGGAAGATCCTCTGCCTTCATTGGGTCCAGGGAGGATCTCCATGGAGGAGGATCTTCTGCCTTCAGTGGCTCTAGAGAGGATCTCCAAGGAGGGAGGTCCTCTGCCTTCATTGGGTCCAGGGAGGATCTCCATGGAGGATGATCTCTCACCTTCATTGGGTACAAGGATGATCTCCAAGGAGGGAGATCCTCTGCCTTCATTTGGTCCAGGCAGGTTCTCCAAGGAGGATCTTCTGCCTTCATTTGGTCCAAGGAGGATCTGCTCTGAGGGCATCCCCCCCTCACCCCGCACCCTCAAGCTTTTAGGGGACCCAGGGGAGGGCTGGGGACCCCTGAACGGACGAGCAGCCACCTCCTCTGCACGTGTGGCCTGGACAGAGGGGCACCTTGCCCCACATCGCTGCCAGACCCTGTCTGCTACCGGTCTCCTGGTGTGGAGTCTCCAGTGTCTACTACTCTGGTTGAGCTTCGTAGGAGAGTCCATTCCCCAGTTTCCTTGGGACGTGGCCACTGGTTTCCCTGGGCTGTAGCCACTGGCTTCCTTGGGATGTGAGCATCTCCTTGGGCATCTCCTTGGGCATCTCTTTGGGCAACAACTTGGGCATCTCCTTGGGCATCTCCTTGGGCATCTTGGGCAACTCCTTGGGCATCTTCCTGGGCATCTCCTTGGGCAAATCCTTGGGCATCTTGGGCAACTTCTTGGGCAACTCCTTGGGCATCTCCTTGGGCATCTTGGACATCTTGGGCAGCTCCTTGGGCAACTCCTTGGGCATCTTGGGCAACTCCTTGGGCATCTCCTTGGGCATCTCCTTGGGCATCTTGGACATCTTGGGCAACTCTTTGGGAATCTCCTTGGGCATCTTGGACGTCTTGGGCATCTCCTTGGCGGGGGGGGGAGGGGCCAGCAGCATTAACCCCCGAGGTTCCATTGCCCGCCCCCCACCTCTGACGACTTCGAGGCTTCGGACCCCCATGTTTGACCCCCCAC